AATTCATTTCAAATCAATACCAGAAGGACCCACTGAGCATCTGTTATGTTGAAAGAATAGTGCTAGGCCCTAAAGATTCAAAGACAAAAATAATTTTCTTGGACCATGATCATTCTCTATCTTTATTGCTTGTCCAAGACATTAGTGCTAAAGGTCTAACTCAATGAACTGTCCACCCAACTGCATGACATAGTCTAGGCAAGAAGTAATCTTCATCAATTCAGTCTTTGCTGTGTAAATTGCTAAATCAACACCCTTTTCATAACTATGAATGTCCTTAGTTAGCTCTGTGGTATTCAGATACTTGAAGCAATTGGTATTATGTCACCTCTAATTAGAAGTACTCAGAGAATCTCTCCATCTATAGGAAATCCTCTTCTATTTCTTTTCTGCACAAGACATACTCCACGAATTGACAAACATGTTTGGAAAGTATATCTCTCAACTTAATGCTCTTCTATTTCCCTTCCCAACATAGTGTAAAACTGGGGAAACAAGGGTCATTCCTCTCTAAGCTACACTCAGAACTTTTTTCTACCATGCCCCCAAACTGGGTACCTCCCCCTCTTTCAACTTCCCTTCTTATATTGTCTTCCTCTATTAGAATGTAAGTTTCTTGAGGCCAGGGACTGCTTTCTACTTATATTTGTTTTCTCACCACTTAACACAGTGTCTGAGTAATTATGCAGTAATTACTCAATAAATATCTGTTGACTTAGTGATTGAATGATTGGGAGAGTGTTTCTGCCTTGTGTATAGGTTTACAAGATGATAGATTTAGAATTGAAAATCAGCTTAGAGGCTACTGTCCAACACATTCATTTTACAGATGAAGAAATTGAGGTTAAGTGATTTGCCCAAAGTCACACAACTAAGTGTCTGAGGTTGAATTTGAACCCAAGACTTCCTGATTCCAAGGCCAGTGCTCTATGCTATCTAAACACACTAAGAATCATAGATTATTATGGCTGGAAGAGATCTCTGAGATCATCTAGTTCCAACTCAAGTTGTTTTGTCCAAGGTCACACAAGGAGGCATTGGCAGGGCTGTTCAATAGCTCAGGTCTATTAATCCTTAGTACAATCCTCTTTCCATTAAGCCACATTGCCACTCTCCAACTTTCCTTGTTAGCATAGACTAAAGTTCTAAAGATGACTCATTGAACCTATTAAAAGAATTGAATCAACCCCTTCCCAGAGCTTCTAAGTAACTTATAAAACTGTCCAGTAACAGAAAAGAGTTTAAAATTAATTTATTTTTCCATAATTACAAGCTAGCTATGTTTGCTATTATTCCTGCTAATAGTACAAGCTTGTTTCTAATTTATTTTCCCATGTTACCAAAACTTGTTGGACTGGGTGGAGTCTTTCTGGGGTGAAGGATCCTCAAATCTCTTAACAAAAATGTAGGTCTTGAATTCCCTTTGGAATCAGTATTGAAAATCCTAAGATATGAGAACACATACATAGGAAATTACAATAAATATAGTCCACATTCCAGTGCTTGATATAGTGCCTGGCACATAGTTATCCCTTAATAAATGCTGTTGATATAAAATATATTGAGATTCTCAAGAACTAATTGACTCAAGAGACTATAGGCTCAGGCCTTTGATATACTTCCTCGTCACCAGAGTGCAAACAACCAGGAGGAGCTCCAGATTCCCTCTTAGGTTTGGCTGACAGAACACAATGGCCAGTTCAGGTGGAAATTTTTGCTCAGTTGAGTCCGATCTCAGTGTCCTTGAGGACTATCCTTTTCCTCCTTTGGCCACGTAAATCTGATTTTATGAATTGTTTAATGATCTACCAGTGTCTCATTTTACTGCATTATGGGCCCTAAACTCCAAGAGTACTGGCTTCAGTGAGTTCAGGTCAATCCCAGAGCAATGTTCTTGCAGTATTACAACAGCCTCCCTAAAACCATTCCCTCAGAACTGAATGATGTAAAATTATAATCACCAAACTTGACCCCAAAGAAGAGGCATGAAAAAGCATCTCCCTCCTTTTCCTCAAAGAAGTGTGGTGTGTGTGTGTGTGTGTATGTGTGTGTCTATGTATGTGTGTGTGTGTGTGTGTGTATGTGTCTGTGTGTGTGAAACATTGCACATAATGTCAGACTTTTCAATACGTCAGTTTGCTGAATTGTTTTTTCCTCCTTTCACTCTTTCTTAAAGGATGTTGTTCTCTGAGTGCAAGGACACATTGGGAAATGTAGGTGATGTAAAAACAGATAATATCAATAGAATGCTATGTGTTTCTGTCTCTGATGCACACATGAAAACTAATAATAGCCTCATTCCTAGCCCATTGTGTGTGCATGCTGGCTCCCTTCCAGTCCTTAGAGCAGGATATCCTTAAAAATTACTTTTGTATATTAATCTCCTGGCCTGGAGCAAAAACAATTTCAAACTTTTTCTGGACAAGTTTTGTTGAGCTATCTGGCAAAAGGTGTTGATCCAGGAGACTATAAGCTGTTCTTTGTTTCTGTTGATCATAATTTCCTTTGTATCAATTGTTTATAAATCCATACTTATTGCTGGTTTCAAGAATTTTCCCTTATACTTGTTCTTGCCCAGAATAGATTTTATCAGAATTGGTGTATGGTGTATGTATGATCAGGGACCATAGGGGAGTCTTATAAGACAAAGGGCCTGAGAATGTTGTGTTGTATGTTTTTTCTTTGTCTTTAGTGGTTTGATTATCTTAAAAATAAGAAAGAAAGAAGGAAAGGGAGAATGAAAGAGAGAGAAAAAAAGAAAAAGAAGAAAGAAAGAGAAAGAAAGAGAAAGAAAGGGAAAGAAAGGGGAAAAAGGAGTACACTGCATTGGGGATATGGAAGGGAAAGGAAGGTGGTGGAAGTCCTCACACATAATTTGGATGTACAAGCAGAAGACTCTACCAAAAAAAAAAAAAGAGAGATAATGTGATGGAGGAGAGCAGGCAACACTTGAACCTCGCTTTCACCTGAATTTGTCAAAGGGGAGAATACACACACACACACACACACACACACACACACACACACACACACACACACCATGGAGTACAGCAATACATTTCACTCAACAGAGAAACAGGAAGGAAAGAGTAGAAGGAAGGGAGGGTCATAAGAGGGAGGGTAGATTAAAGAACAGCTTAGTCCTAAGCAAAACAAGCTCTAACCACAGAGGTTATAACTCAAGAGGAATTTGAAAGGAAAAAAAAAAGAAAAGATAAGACCCTGAGATTGAGCTCTGGGCTAGGGAAAGAGAAGAGGCGACAGAGGGGTAGTAGCAGACTGCATCAAACCTAGAGCACAGATGCTGAGCACACTCCTCTCTCACCACCTTCTTCTTTATTAACACAATGACATACAATGATTCCAGAAGCCTTTGGATGAAACATGCTACCTCTCTCCTGACAGATAGTGATGGATTCAGGGTGAAGATTGAGACATAGTATTTTTGACATGAACAATACGGGAATTTGTTTTGTTCGTCTCTGCAAAGAGTATTGTTTTTCTTAATTCTTCAGTGGTTGGGAGGGAAGTAGTTGGGACAGCGATAAAGTAGATTTTTGTTAAAATGGAAAAAAAAGTTATTTCAATAATCTAGGGGAGAGATGACCAGGGCCCGAAATGAGGTGGTAATTGAATGAGTAGAAACAAGTGTTCAAATGTGAGAGCTGCTGTGAAGGCAGAAACAGTAAGATCTGGCAAACAAAAGGCATAACACAAAGAAATATTTCTTTGTACTAATTATTTCCCACACATCTATCTACATTATGAGTTAAGAATACTAAAGACTCTGTAAGCATGTAAAACTGAATTCTTTCATACTCCATTATTACAAACAATACAGGCAAGGTTTGTTTTTTGTTTTTTGTTGTGTGTGTGTGTGCGAGTGTTTTAAGTTACAGGAAACTAGCAATAAAGTTATAGGCTATTTTCATATCCTCTAAATATTTTTTTTGTCTTTGTCAAAAACCGTATTTTAGACTGTTCACAGGCTTTCAGTTTGAAAAGTCCCCTGGGCAAGGACTTGCTTGTGAAAACTATTTCCTTCAACTAAGAATGCCTGATTCTTTTCACATTGTGGCATTAACCCTATAAAAGTAAAGTACTTTTTGGCTTCATCTACAGCAGAGTGAACACTTCTTAAATGACTTCATTTCAGCATTCTCCACATATAGAATGAGACATTTAAGAAATGACAGCCTGATTGAATATGGACACACTTTGGGGTTTATACCCCATCCAGGTAGATGCAACCTCTCAGTAATTTGGAATTCACACAGACAGCTTCCAAACAGAGAGTGAGGGGTTGGAGACCTTGGGGGAAGAGGAGTGGGCAAAGCAGAGGACAAACAGAGCACATAGCCATGAATGAGCAAATGCCACAGAGCTGGTAACAAAAGGCTTTCCCAGCAGAGATGTCCTAGATAAGGGTATATGTGTGCACGTGAGTGTGTGTGTATGTGTGTGTGTGTGTGTGTGTGTGTGTGTGTGTATGCAGGCAAGAGATAGCATGATGGGAACCATGCCTATCAATTAGTGATTTCCACATAACCAGCCTTATAGATGTTTTTATGGTTGCAAACCCAGAAATCTACTTTCAGTGAGATACTTCCAAATCTAAAAGCATGTGTTCTAATGACCTGATATCATGGCTCTATTTCCTAGCACATGATTTCTTTTTCCAGGCCTTTAGAAAGGACAAGCTCACTGGTCCTTCTACAGGCAGTGTTAAATGTTCACAAACTGCTCCTGCATTCCTGACCCAGAACTTTATTAATGTTTCTGCCAGAACTTCTCTACAAGATATACACAAGGCAGGATTTATATGCTGGCTATAGACAGTTCATGGTATTTAGAAAGATGAGGACTTAATATTTTGAGGTACAAGCCCTACAATTTTCTGTTCTCAAACTTAAATCTATGCTATTACCCTATACCATTTCCTTGCACTGTGCTTGTGTTCCCATGGCCCCGCTACCCCCTCATAACCCCACTGGACTTACTTTTGGCATCAGAGATTGCATCCTATTCCAATTCACTATCCTGGCTGTGCCACAGGGACTGCTGGATGGGCTGACTTGTTTTGTGTTTGTCTGTTCCCAGTCTCTAGGCACAGTTCCCTGACTCAGCTTCCAGGATTTCCAGCTGGTCTATCTTTTGTAGCTTGACCCCACCCATATTTGAATGCAGACTGCAAGAAGCCTGACCAATTGCTAATACATTCTTTGAAGCCTTTCCCCTCATTGTAAGAGGATCAGGATTCTAGACAGTGACTAGTTCTGATACTGGTTTTTCCTTGTCTAAATGCCTTGCCCTGACACCCTATGCTTATCATCATTGCCAGAATGGTGCAACAGAGAGATCATTAGACTTGGAATCTGAAGATCCAAGTTGGAGTCCTAACTCTGTTTGCCAGCCATTTGACTGTGGGTATGTCATGAAATATCATGTCCTCATCTGTGAAATGGGTATAGTTCTACTTATACTACCAACCTCTTAGAGTTACTGTAAGTGCTTTACAAGTTGTTACATAAATTATTATTATAATCATCTCCTAGTACATAACATTCACAAGCCTCCACTTCTTACCAGTAATTCTAGGATCTATGGTTTCATCACTGTCGATGCTGTCTTGATGCTCACAAAGCTCACCTTCTTAACTGTTGTACTCAGAAGTTGCTGTGACCAAGAATGAACTTTAACTTCAGTATCATTTCCTATTTATCAAAATGGAAAGGTTGGAAAAAGTCACTGTTGGATGGGTCATGGGAAGACAAAGTTCTAAGTTATAATTGATCAACTGCAAACCGATCTGACTAGTCTGGAAAATAAATGTAATTATGCAAGAAAAGTTAGTGAACTGTTCATACTCTTTAATATAGCAATCTCACTACAGAAATACTAAAATAACCATAGAAGCACAATTTATAATATCAAAATGCTAAAGAAAAATCATGTGCCAAATGATTGGCAAATAACTGAACAGATTACGATAATGGAGTGTTGTACTATAAGGAACAATTAATATGAAGAATTTGAAGAAACAAGGGAAGACTTGTATGAACTGATTCAGACCAAAGAAAACAGAATAATATACATAATGATTACAACACACTCCAGTGGATCTGTGATCTTATCAATATGGATATTCCAATGGATATCCAACTCTCCATCCATCCATCCATATCTCATCAATATGGATATAACCAATTAATCAAACAAGTATTTGTCAAGCATTTACTATGGTTATGTGCTAAGTGGCAGGATATAACCTATCCATGCCCGCCCATTCTGTGCAATCCTTATCCAGGTATTCCCACAAGTTCACCACATGTGGCATTGCTTACAACAGTTCAACTGAGGCTAATCCAGAAGAACGGAGAGCTGTGATTAGTTCTGCATCCACAGCTCAGAGGCGCCAGCTGGAATTACCCAACTGAGTCCCACATCTTGCCTGAAATTTTGGGGGTAATCCCTGTTTGTGATCCTCCGATCTATACATCTTCTCCTTGAAGATCTTGATTTATCCTCACCTTTTCCTGAGCATTATTTGCTTCATCATCGTCTAGCTCAGAGCTATCAAGCACTTGGTCCACAGGTCATACATGATCCACAACACTGCTGAGCGCGATGTAGTCAGAAGGAGATTAAAATGTGATTGGGAAATGTTTAACAAAATAAACAAAAGCAAGAAAACGTTGATAACGTTAATTTGTGATTTTCTAACAATATGATGCCCACTGCTATTCTCAGGTGTGGTTTGGTGGCCCCATTTCTATTTGATTTTGACACCTTTGGTTCAATTCACTGGACAAATTACACCTAATGGACAAGCATCTCTTCTCCTTCAGAGAGCAAACCGGCAGATGAATTTCCTGTCTATAAAATGAAGGAGCTGGACCAGATGAGCACTGAGGTCTCTCCCAGCCTTAAGTCTATGATCCTATGAGTGTGACAGACTATTTTGACCTATGGTGCTATGCATGTACATCTTTGCTTCTGTCTCCAACCCCCCCCACCCCATGCTGCTTCTCTCTAGGCCCCCAGACCACAACCCATGAGGCTGACTATAGGAAGGTTCAAGAAAGACAGTACGGGGATCTATGAACCTCCCATTAACAATCCATTTGCAAGGATTAGTTTACTAGATTCTATCCTAGGTTCCCAAAGTGGGTGATACCACCAACTGGACGGCACTGGAATGAAAGGGGGGGAGGGTGGTAGTAGCCTCAGGTGCAATTGGGAGGCATTGAATAAAAATAAAGAGTTAACTTAACCTAACCCGTAGAGGGGCACTGAGTAATTTTTTTGAAAAGAGGATAGTAGACCAAATAGGTTTGGGAACCTCTGTTATTTGTTGCCTTGAATGGCAAAGATGAAGGCCCTGAACAGATGAAAAAATAGCATCTACTAGTTTTCATAGTATTCCATGATCATAGATTTAAAATTAGAAGTGACATTAAAGGCCATCTCATTCATCTTACAGATAAAGAAACTGAGGCCCAGAAAGTTTAAATGACTTGCTCATGTTCACAAGGCAGTAAGTAGGAAATTGGGGATTCAAAATCAGATCCCCTGATATTAAATCCATTGCACTTTTTCACTGAACTACACAGTCATTGCCTGTAGGTGGTGGTGATATGAAAAGGTCTGAAGTATGGAGACCTGAGCAGTCTAAGGGCATCCTGTGAAGAAGGCAACAGTCCTCTGGGGCACTGAAGGCAAGCTCCACCTAGTACCTGGTTTTGCCCAGGTCCAGACATCTCTGTAGTATTCAGGTTTATAACAGTGTCTGTGTTGGGTTACTTATGATAATTTACAGAGTCAGCATGGCATAGTTGATAGAGAGGTGGCTTTGGATCCAGGAAAACCTGGATTCAAATCCCTTCTCTGACACATACTGACTGTGTGACTCTGGACAAGTCACTTCATCTCTGTCCTAGGTAGAGCTAATCTCTAAGACTATTAATGTAGAGAAAGCACAAATTGCTAAAGGGAGTTTCCTCACCCCCCTCCTGTAATAATTTAACAATTATTACACATGTTTCTCTTCATTTCCTCTATAGCCCATTGAAACTAACTGTCTGGAGTTCCTAAGAGGCAACATTCCTACTGCCATCTTCACGCATTTGCACAGGCTGTTCCTCTTGCCTGGAACGTACTCCCTCCTTACCTTGGACTGACTGTTTTCCTTTAAAGCTCAGGCCAAATGCCACCCCCTACATAAAGCTCTTCCTCATCCTCTCCCACCTTCAGCCGCCAGTATCTCACCCCTAATCCCTTTGCATTTACTTTGTATGTGATGTGTGTGTGTTTGTACACACACACACACACACACACACACACACGTGTACATGTTGTTTCTCCTGATAGAATGTAAGCTCCTTGAGGGCAGGGACTTTTTCCATTTTATCATTGTATTCCAATGTCTGGGCATTGGTGAACTGTGGTAGAGATATACAGTGGAATCTATATTGAACTAACTAGGGCCAGAACTCAGTTAGAGAATGTTGGTGGGTCAGCGAGGGCTCTAAGCTGCTTTGTGCTGGTGCCTGAGTATTCATCCTTGAAAAAAACTGGGGAAAATACTCTGCTGGTACAGAAACAACTAGAGAAATAGATAAAGCACAGAACAACACCTTAATGTTTCTTCCCCAAGGCAAAGGAATCTAATGTAAAAATTGACCTGTGTCACTATATTCGCTTACATTCTATTCTGAATTAAGAAAGGGAGAGACTAAGAGAGAGGGAATGAAAAAGAAAGAAAGAAAGAAAGAAAGAAAGAAAGAAAGAAAGAAAGAAAGAAAGAAAGAAAAGAAAAGAAATTAGAAAGGAAGGAAGAAAGAATGGAAGGAAGGAAGGAAAGAAGAGAAAAGGAAAGAAAGAAAAGAAAGAAAGACAAAGAAAGAAAGAAAGAAAGAAAAAGAAAGAAAGAAAGAAAGAAAGAAAGAAAGAAAGAAAGAAAGAAA